GAGTTCTCACCGTGTCCATGTTCTCACGAAACAGTCAACACTTTATAAGTACTCTGCCGCATCTCCGTCAAGCCTAGAAAAAGCCACAATAGCAATTACTATTAGTAACACCCGGGTCGACGCGTTAATTGACACAGGAAGTTCAGTGAGCTTTATTGATAGAAGCATAGCTCGGATGATGAAGTTACATCAACGTCCGTATAAGCATACAATTAATCTGGCGTCTCTAAGCCACACATCAACAGTCAACGGTGTATGTTTCGCTACGCTAGAAATAAACAATCACATTTACAAGCAACGTCCTTTTCTCGTTATTGACAACCTATGCGCGGACGTCATTATTGGTCACGACATACTAAGGAACCATTCAAAGCTCGAATTCCAATTCGGAGGATCTAGACAGCCCTTGCATATTTGCGTGATGGAAGCTTCCGTACCACCAGCTTCTATTTTTACTAACTTATCTGCAGATATTACTCCTATTGCTATCAAGTCCAGGCGCCATAACAATGACGATGAAGAATTTATTCAAACAGAAATATCGAAGCTTTCAAATGATGGAATTATCGAACAGAGTGTATCTCCGTGGCGCGCCCAGGTACTTGTTGCTGGTGGAGGAGCCCATCGAAAGAGAATGGTCGACTACTCCAGAACAATCAATAAGTTTACATATCTAGATGCATATCCATTACCTAATATTGAGTCGATAGTCTCGAAAGTGGCTAAATACAATCATTTTAGCCAGATCGATTTAAAGAGCGCTTACCATCAGATCCCTATCCTAGATCGAGAAAAAAAATACACAGCATTTGAAGCCTGTGGTAAGCTGTGGCAATTCAAACGTATTCCCTTTGGTGTCACTAACGGAGTCGCCGCCTTCCAACGTTCTCTTGAACATATTATCGAAAAAGAACAGTTACGTGGGACCTTCTCTTATCTCGATGACGTTACCGTTTGCGGTAAAAATAAGGAAGAACACGACGAGAATTTAAAGAAATTCATGTCTGCTGCAAAAAAGTACAAGCTCACATTAAACGAACAAAAGTGTAATTTCAGCAAAAATTCTATTAGCCTACTAGGATACACGGTCAAGAATAATGTTATCGAGCCTGATAAGGACCGCCTTGATCCGCTTATAAAACTACCGTTACCGCACAACACTGCTGAACTCAAGAGAGCCCTTGGGCTATTTGCTCATTACGCCAAATGGGTCCACAATTTTTCTGCGAAAATTCAACCGTTAATCAACAACAGCCAGTTCCCTTTAAACGAAAACGGCCAGCGTAGTTTTAAACTTCTGAAATCAGAAATCGAGAAGGCAGCATTGGTTGCTATTCACGACAAAGAAACCTTGACGGTAGAGACTGACGCTTCTGACTTCGCTGTAGCTGCAACATTATCTCAAAAGGGTCGCCCAGTTGCATTCTTTTCAAGAACTTTGTCAGACAGCGAACGTAAACACGCTGCCGTAGAAAAAGAAGCATGTGCAATCGTCGAAAGCATTAGAAAATGGCGTCATTACCTCATTCACAGACATTTTCTCCTCATCACTGATCAGAAATCCGTAAGCTTTATTTTTAATCAGAACCATGCGAGCAAAATTAAATACGATAAAATTGAAAGGTGGAGGCTGGAACTGTCGTGTTACAAGTACGATATTGTTTACAGACCAGGAAATCAGAATACTGCTGCCGACGCTCTGTCTAGAGTTTGTGCGTTTATGAGTAACAGTAAATTGTACGAGCTTTTTGGATTAAGTTGAAGAATCTCCCTTACTCTATAAATGATATCAAACAGATGACTGCTTCTTGTCGCGTATGTGCGGAAATCAAACCACGCTTTGCTAAAGCAAAAGGGACTCTAATTAAAGCCTTATCGCCATTCGAGAGGCTAAACATAGATTTTAAAGGGCCCTTGCCATCGAACACCAATAACAAATATATACTTACGATAATCGATGAATACTCGCGATATCCATTCGCGTATGCATGCCCAGACACATCTTCTGCAACTGTAATTAAGTGTCTAAGGGATATTTTTTATGAATATAGTCAGCCTTTATATATACACAGCGACAGAGGATCATCATTTATGTCGGAAGAGATTCTTTAACATTTCTCAAAAATTGCAATATCGCTACGTCTCGTACAACACCTTACAATCCTCAGGGCAACGGGCAAGTAGAAAAACTTAACGGAACTCTCTGGCGGACTATACAACTGTCTCTGAGATCTAAAAACCTACCCATAGAGAACTGGGAACAAGTCCACTCCACTGCGTGCGGTCACTTCTATGCACTTCGATAAATGCAACGCCACACGAAAAGCTTTTTAATTTCCCTCGAAGAACACCGGTTGGTGAATCGCTTCCAACCTGGGTTGTTCCGGGACCCATTCTATTGAAGAAATTTGTTCGGTCGAAAAATGACCCTTACGTTGAAGAAGTTGAGCTGCTCCACAGTAATCCAAGCTACTCCTATGTACGTCGACGTAATGGCCAAGAATCTACAGTGTCTAACAGGCACTTAGCGCCGCTTCCTATATCTGAAGAAGATTCACTCTCTGATAGTACAGTTGCTGATGAACAGGCAGAAGGTACATTGGTAGACGGAAGTACTTCTAATGATCCTAATGAAGTGTCTAATCACGAAGAAGACGTCCATGGAACTCTCCTGCAAGACGTTCGGCCTCAGGATGCTCTTCGGAGATCTACGAGGTCTAGGAGAATTCCACAACGCCTCAATGACTACATACTCGGCGAAGAAACCATAGAGGGGGAGAATGACATATAATCTCCTTTGTGCTTCCTAAATTATCAGTATGTGTTGTCTGTGATCGTTGAAGTGTATCTGTCATACAAATATTTTTAAATCTATCTATTGTACGTGTGCTCGTTTCTAGTTAATTAAAGCCAAGTTTCTATTGGTATTTCGTTTCCATGTATCACTAACACAGAAGTATGAGAAGTGATAAAATCGACAACAGGAGAACAATAAACAACTCCAAGAACCGCTTTGACCCCAGAAACCACTATCTCTAAAAAAAGGTATTCGATGCCATTTTCATTTTGGTCCGATGATGAAAGGGTCTCGAAAGGAATGGACTGCGAAGATAGATGGCTACACCACCACCTCTCTTCAAAAGACGGTCATTGCGCACCAAAACATAATCTGGTAAGGCATATGTAGTTGAATTATGATATGGCTTAAACTAGCTTTCTGAAACAAGCACCGCATTTAAAGAATCCAAGGAAAAAATGTCGAGCAACTCTGTGCGATGACTACGTATGCTTTGGGCATTTATATGGCATACATTAAAATTTAGAGATGCAGTACCAAAGATATTGGAGAGCTCGACTGTCAATGCCTCAAACTCCATCTTCGAGTAATTCAATTAAACAAAGGAATCGCAGCTTACACATGATAGAAAATCCTCAAAATCGTTTAAATCTCACATATTTATACGGTATACCAAAAATAAATATATAAATTATATAAAATAGTTAAAATAATAATAATAAAAATGTGCCTAAATAATAAAAGAATTCAATATAAAATAATTGTGCACAACCCGCCAGCCAACCGTTACAATTGCCGAGAGACTAATAAAATAATACAGTACAAAGTTATAAAAATGGAAGTTAACAGATATTATCACAAAAAATAAACATATCAAGTGAACTATTATCAAAACAAAAAAGTACATGAGGCACTAGCCAAAAAACTTATCATAACAAAAGAGAGAGACAAAAAAGGAATAGTCACGTTTGAAGTAATACTGCGCCTGTATTCGCGCCATTTCGCGGATTCGTCAGGCGTCGCCGACGGCAGCTGCGAATTTTTAAGTAAATGCGCGTCCATACTCGAGAATTGCGCGAGAATTCCGCGGAAGACGCTTCGTGATTTTTGCTCGTATCTAGTTTGTACGTTACGCAATTGACCATAAAGTTAATTACGCTATACAATATTGTTACAAAAATTCGCTTCCATTCCATTCCGCCGCAATATAATTGAGCCAAACCATGATTAAAAACAGAGAAACTTCAAAAATACTGATTTATTAAAAAATACTCATTCTTACTCCTTATAAGTTTTATATTAATACAAAATATTAAACTTTATTCAGATCCTCATCCCGCTTCACTTCGTACTTGACAAGTTTCGCATATTTCTTCAATAACTTTCTCCAATAACACTTAACGTCTTTATCAGTCAAATTATCCCAAATGTGTTGAAAACCCCTCTCAGCTATATCCTTGGCTATTGAATCATTTTCTTTAAAGTACTCAATGTACATTCTCAGTTCATCCTCTTTCGCTTTTGGGTCTATCGGTATATAATGTACCCAAGGCTTCATAGAAGGGTAAAAAAATTCCAACCATTCATCTCCAACGTGAAATACTAAAGACTTGCATAGGAAAAGATGTTTGAAGCGAAAACTAGCAGCAACTCCTCTATAGTTGAATAAATATTTGTATTTGCAGTGATCTTCGAATGATATTTCTGGTGCTGCAGGAGAATATAATGTGTCCTGCAACATGTTTTAGATACGAGTAAGTATTTGAAAGAAGAAAAATACGAAATAACAATAAGTGATTAGGCATCTGCTGCATGAAATGAGACCACTATCGCAGGTATTAAATGCTGCAAGTCGACGGGTCCACGCGACAAAAACCCAGCGCAATATTCCTTGTGTTTTTCCTTAATTTTAAATGGTTCAAAACTTACTGCATCAGATTTCCAAGCTTGATTTTTAGTATACTGAGCATCAACAAGGTCTGGGTGTGAGCGCGATAACAACACTAAAGCGTCTCTCTCTTCGCTTGTTCTGGATCCACGGAAAAACGCTTTTCCTTCTTTCTCATCCCATGGCCATCTAAAATAACAAGATCATACCTAGTTTTTCTATATTCTAGGGTATATATAATTTAATTTTTTTTTTCTTTTAACTGTTGATCGTATAAAAAGCGCAAAAGCAAAAGTGAGACCGACATTTTTATTACCACAATGTATAACAACTCAAATTATAAAGTATTATTTAAAAAAAACACACTTGAGGAAGGGAACATGAAAATAATTTGTTGCAAGCAAATTTATCTAATTGAATAATCATTGTCACATAGTTCAAATTTTTTGGATTATCATACTTTATAATTATGTATTCATTGTATCAATTAGCAATAAATCAAGAGGAGTGCTAATCTCCATACAACAGATCGTAGCTCTGAATAAGGTCAAAATTCCGTTTTATACCTAGATGGCGCTGATCAATAGCCTGGAAGTGGTTTATATTATGTAATTGGCCGTGGATGTCAATTAATTCCTCTTTAATATAAAAAGTCATATCGAGTTCTTAGGTTTTCGCGATTGTTACACATAGGAAATGAAACTATTTTTCCGGATTTAAATCGCGTATATTTGTTTTTTCAAACAAATATACGCGATTTGTTTGAAAAAACAAATATAGTTTCAAGTCAGTTTCTTTTCCTTGTAAATATTATTCAAAATATTGATCATGAACTAAAATTATTTCCTGAACTTTGACAAATAGTAGATGTATCAATAGATGGTATTGTGTGTTACAAACGTACAAACTTGCATCGCGATTAACAAGTCCTCTGAGTTATTGGTCCATTATTGTATTTATATTGAGCTGTAAATACTATTAATTAGTGTATATTTCTTGAACTACACATACACTATCACAATTTACAATAAAATTATGATCAAAGTATTAAATCTAAAGTTACCAGCCAAATGAAAGAATCATCATATAGAAGTCTTCTTTTTACTTATACAAGCAATAATATGCACATCTTACAATAAAAGAAGGATGGCGACATCCCGTGTATTTTGTGACCCAGTGTTTTTGACGATGTGCATTAAGGAGACCTATCAATACTTGTGATTCATTATCAAAGCATCAAAAAAGCTGATTGAGTACAGCCTGTAGAAGCTGGGATAATAAAGTTGATATAGGTTGTGTTTATAACATTGTCCTGTATTTCGCTTCAGATGATTGTTCGTAGTAACAAAAAACAACAAGTTTTCAATTTGTTCCAAAAAATAATAAAGAACTTGCCGAATATTCCCAAAGCTGCCAAACTCTGCATTTAATATAACTTATCATATTCTGCAGCAATGAAAATGAATAAAAATTAAATCTTCACAAATGGCAGAAATCTGCCTCAATTGGTCACACTGTTCCCAATATCCATTGGCAAGAGGTCTCTTGTCAAAACGTTCCTTTGTAACTTTCATTATCTTTCATTTAAATATTGTCCTAATATTTTTGCAAGATTGTGTTTTATTTATTGTTTTATGTCCTTACTTTTTTATTTGTTATTTCATTAGGTATTTAAAAGCTTTAATGTTTTATGTGTGTGAAATAACCAACACTTCAGGTACGTAAACAATCAATCATGCTTAAAATGAAACATACGTACAAGAATGATACCTAATCTATGGTCGAACTGAATCAATTGCGTTGTGTTCTTGCATCTTTTCCAAAATACAATGTTTTACAATTTCTTAATTCCCGACTTCTAAAAATACTTATACAAAAATATATTAATTAAGCATTGACTAGACATAAACTAAAACGCAAAATTATACTAGCAAAGTCCACGAACGGCTCTTCGTCATTATTGGGGCAGCTTTCGACATGCTTCTTTCTAATTACATGCAATGTAGAATCTCATGGACCTATAGGTACTCACTTCTCAGCAGCAGTTGTAATGGATATTCTATGTTTATCCCATCTTCCTATGCCTGTGGGATATAAAGAGATTGCTGGCCCGCCTTCCCAAAAACTCCAAGCTGGATACATAATGTCATAATAGTCTTTGGTCTGAAAATTACAAATGAAAATTTTTCCTTACGAGAATTAATCACATAATTAGTATTATTGTTAGCTGCTCAATTATTATTATATCCAATTAGATTTTGTTTGAGTTCATATTCCATACAGTTAATAAAGTAACAAAAGCACAATACTATTTCCATTTACATTTATTGAATTGGTCATTATGGAATGCAAATCGCAAATCTCACAATGAAAAAGTTATCAATCAACCTTGCTAAATGAGAATACTGGAGCTCTCTGGTGTCCCCATTTGCGATTGATTTGAGGCCAATCTCTAGTGTTTATAACAAATTCCATATTAGGCAAGTTTGGTGCTAGAGCATTCAAATAGTGTTCTACCCCAGCACATCTTGATGGGAAGTGGCAGTCTTTATCACGATACAGTTTTTGATCTATTATCTGAAATAAGAAATAAGGAATGTATGGCACATAAACACACCTTGTAACAAATCGTGTCGGGCGTAGATGCGTATCTGACTGACAAATATATTTTTCATCTCGAAATATATAAAAATATAATAGCCTGCTTAAAGTAGTTTCCATCAATTTCTACCAAAAAAAAAAACCGTCTACAGATATTACGGATTTATAAGTAAAGACAAAATTTCAGTATTTTTTATGTATTTGTTGACACAATATTCTATTTTTTACTACTTAACTTTCGAGTTATAGTTATAATATAACAGTCTAAATTACACCGATATGACTAATTTTATGATTAATTTAATTGGAATCCTATACAAGTTGCCATATAAACTATTATTATAACTTAAAAAGAAATTTTCAGTTGTTTCATTGAAAATTTGCATGTATAAATACAAATTTATATATATATTATATATTAAAGCTACAAGTTCTTACTCACTGACAGAAATAGAACGCATACTTCCGGATATGGTGGAAAAAAGATATTTATACTGTTGTACGCGGATAATTCTTGGAATAAGTTGTGGAATATCGAGTAATTTTTTTTTTTTAATAGATAATAACATTCCTTATAACTTTTATTCTTGTGTAATTTCTTTAAAAGTTGATAGTTACGGAGATAAAAAATTATGATTTTTTTTGTGTGGAGAAATATACATTTTATTTCTTATCTCGAAATGTACGATAGTGTAATGCACGAGGGTTACTTACAGTATAGTTCCAATAATTTTCTATGTAGAAAAAATAATCCGTCTGCATGTACGCGGCTTTTGATGTACTTTTTTAAAATACATGAGCTTCAACTAAATAAAAATAAATTTTAGTGTAATTTAAAGAGTGTTATAACAATAACACGAAAGTTAAGTAGACACTAGTATATTGTGTTAAAAAATAAATAACAAATGTAAAATTTTGACACATTTTTACTCGTAAAGCCGCAAATACCTACAGATGGATTATTATTTTCTTGATAGTGAATGAATGGACCTATATTGCAAATAAACCACACACATTACATTTTCCTACATTTCGAGATAAAAAATAAAATGTTTATTTCTCCAAACAAAAAAAAAAAATATTTTTCTCTGAAACAATCAACTTTTCAAGAAATTATAAAAGTTATCAGGATTGTTATTATTTATCATATGAAAAAAATAAGCTCTGTATTTCTAAAATTGTTTCCATGATTAAATAATAATTGATAATTCTTGGACATAGGAATAACTTGTGGAGTATCGAGAAATTATACAAGTATAAAAGTTGTTACGAATGTTATTATCCATCCTATAAAAAAAAAATAGCTTAATACTCCGCAAGTTATTCCTATGTCCAAGAATGATCAATTTGGGCCCACTGTGCGCCATTCAGTTCAGTTCGATCAGGCGCTCCGACACGCACGCTTCTTTGTTGTGTATGCTAGTGGAAATGGCGACGCCAGAAATTGACATTTCTAAGATAAAACTTAGTGACTTTATATTATAAGATGTTTTGTTTAAAACATTAATTTATACACAATACAGAAGCGAGCGCGTGCGTACGATCGGAGCGCCTGCTGGAACTGCCAAAAATTTGATAAAATAGAGAAAAATTAAATGCTTTATTTTATTTTTTCCTATGAAAAAGTATTTGTACAACAGCTTTTGCAAAACCAAAGACCTTTACACAAATTCGTTTCATGGTCGCTCTCACGCCGCCGCCACCGACATTTTTTCGCCGCCGGTTGGTCTATATCGGTCTAGATCGGCGCTCATATCTAATATTATATTTGTTCTTTCAAATTGATGTTTCACAGGTCCCATGGTCACGGCTGACCGAGACGCTGACTAGAACGCTAAAAATCACACAATTATGTTAAGAGACATTAAGTCCTATCGTCATTATTTCACCTTAAAATTGATTTTAAATGCCCAATTAAATTAAAAAATTTTAAAGTCTCATACTCTTTAAAATGCTCTGTAATAAAAATTATTTTTTGGCACTAAAGGTTCTTTACCTCTCACCTACAAAATTAATGTTTACTATGAAAAAATTAAAGTTGTAGAAATTGAAATAACAAAGTAAAAATGTTAAAACCTTCTCCTATAAAATTAGGTCTAGTGTAGATACATACTCATTACAAATGCTATACATGTGGCTTCTCTGTCATTTCTAGATAACACACAAGACACATTTCTTTATAGAAACAATGTAAAATAAATCTCTGCATAATCCCTATTACAGACTAGCGCTCAACATAGGACACTACGCAAGTTGCTATATAGCAAATAATGGCGCACCTTCCCACTTGTCCTTCTTCTTCTTTTAAATTTTATGGCTCCATCGAAATGATCAATGATATCTGTGTGAGATCTTAAAAACTGCTCCATCAGCCCTTTGACCACTCCTGCTTCAGATAACAGCATAAAACAAATATAGAAGCCATACGAGGCATATTTCATAAACATGCATACACACCTGATACTTGACACCTTTAGAGCGAGCATGTTCGAAAAGTTCTTTAGTGATTCCATCTTTATACGTAGCCAAGTCCCTGTCAATGACTGCCTTATGGCAGCTACAGTTTGCTTTCTTACATGGAATGTAGTATTCAAGAGCTAAATTAATTTCTTTACTAATTTTTGACGTCAACTCATTGATTTCTGTAATAAGTAGGTAACATAAAAATAATGTGAGTCCACACAAATTATCTTGTGCTAAGCTTTTAATAGTAAGCGGATAGCCAATATAATTTAGTAACCAAGAATGAAGTCGCATACAATTCAATTCTAGGACTACAAAGCTTTGTATAGTTTTAGTAGTTACGATCACTTACTTACCTTTACTGTATTTATTATGTTTCTCTGAGCATTGTTCTTCATTTGAACGAGATATTTCACTATTACTCGCAGATAAAGAAAACAATATGCAAAATATCAATGTAAAAAAACTAGTACCGTTCATAATATATGCTTTAGTATATTTATCGTTTACGAGATAGTTTGGAGTAGATTTCAAAAAAGTCGAGGAAGTTTATAGTTTCATTTCCTAACTTAATTTTTCTCAAAAGCGTACACGCTGCTACACATACAGCTACAGTATGGCTACAGTCAACAAATCCAATCATATTTTTTTTTAAATTTATTAAGGCTTTGGCAAAGGCTTAATAATTATGTTTCTGTGAATATGGCCGCCCCAAAGAGGATAGGCAATTTAAGGCGGCGTGGTTGGATTGACTCGGGATTCCTTAAAACAGGCCGATACGGGTATTCTAGTTCGAGATTCGTATAATTTCGCGTTTTAATCTTCGATTAAGGCACAATAGCGCTATCCTATTCCACTTTAAACTGGATTTCACAAAATAATTGAAAGTCAAAATAAAAATGACACTTTTCCCTCCAAAAGGTCCAGAGCGAATCCCAATCCAATCATATTAACTGGAAATAACCTTAAACTCCAATAAGTTCATGTTTTTTTACTAAATGGCATAGCATAGCATCGTTACCACCACAAAGCCACCACATGGTAACTGACATTTTTTTGTTGGCTACCCACAAAGATAATTTCTATCTAGTCTTCATCGAGTATATAGTCCTAGTGTTGGGTCACTAAATTTCCATTTTGAAAAATTGTATTTTTCAGAAAATTTTTCGGATACTTTCTTAGAGGATGGAAAAATTGGTTTCCATAGTCTAAGGATACTTTTCCTTTATTTCCACATTTGACGTTGACACCTGTCAAAATTTTAAGTTACTGAACGAAAACGATGAAGCCAACAAGAGATGGTGGTGGTCATAGGTTTAGTATATAGGTACCTAAATCTATGGTGGGTGGTATGGTTGTCGTAGGTTTTTTCGCTGTGGTGAAATAATTATAAATCTCGTTTTTCTTTTAAGTGGCTTTTATTTAAACGAGTTTATTTTATAATTCACGCTATAAAACTTCAAAAGATATTTCAAAACGTAAAACATAATATGAGCATTTGAAATTATTTTTCCAATTTTTTGGGAATTTTTCGGAAAATTACCCAACAGTATTTATAACCATCCGCAACCACGGTGTGCATGAAGCTTAAAGCATGGTACGATTAGTGTAAACAATAATTAACACTTCCAGTAATTTTCAGACTGTTCTTAATCAATAACAGATGTCGGTATGAAAGAATTCCACTGTGATTCCCAGTCGTCTTCTCTGTACTGAGATATCAAAAAATTTTACTGTAAAAAATAATCAAAAACAATTTATGTGAATTTTTACTTTATTTATGAAAAATATATATATATACTTTTAAAAATGAGAAACTTTCTCAGACAATTTTTTTTTTAATATAGACAGCCGTTAGTTTTTATAAATGGGATTTAATTTTTTAAATCTACAGTCTTGTACAATCACTTGGCGACTTCGCAATTTTTCCGACCGTTTTAAAACCAAGATAATTTATTCATGACAATTTTGTAAAGTATACAATATTTCAATAACACAAAGCGAAACATATTGTGCCCAAGACTTGTTTTCTTGTTACCATTTTTTTTTCAAGTTCTATTAACATTTATAAAAGCAAACCTTAATCACAAGGCACAAAAGGGGTTTCTTAAAATTAACTGATGCTGCATTCACCACTGGGGAAAATAAAAAATATATTTTTATATCAAGTGTATGAAGTGAAACATACAGTTTACATTACAAAAAGAAAATGTAGATTACACTACAGAAGCATGAAATTACACTTAAATACAATTCTAAGCGAGTAAGATTCAACTGTGATTTTGCTAACGTTTGTGAAAATCACAATTTAATATTAAATAGAATACAATGGGAATGACACTGGTAAGGTGTATACAAAAGGAATAAAAGTCAAATTATACATATATTAGCTAAACCTTGGAAAACTGTGCGGCCTTTCAACCCACCTTAGTGACGTCTAAAGAATAAGTCAGTTCGGGAAAATAAACACAATATTCCAAGCCTCAGGTTTCGATCATTACATACTTTTAAATTCGCATCCTTACACTACGCCTACTTTTATTTGTGTTTACTTTCAAATGTGTGTACTTAATATTTGTACAATGTAAATTGTATA